ACCGGAAGGGATTCCTTCTGGTTGATGGTGTTGTTGTATCTCATTGGCCGGAAGGATATCCTTCCGATCGATGAGGTGTAGAGCCTAGACCAGCCGGAACTTCCGGTCACGAAGGTTGGTCTCGATGGCCGGAAGGGGTTCCTTCCGGCCATCAAGATTTTATGGTCTTGATGACCGTAAGGGATTCTTTCCGGTCATTGAGACTGTACAGTCTCATTGACCAGAGGGAATCCCCCCGGCCAGTGGGAGGGAGGCAACTCCCAAGCCTCCCACTTGCCAAGGAGGGTTTTGGGCGCCGACTCCCACCCAAAAAAATAAATTTTAATAAAAAAAAATTGGGAAGTCGACTCCCAATCCCCCAGGGGGAATTGGAAAGACGACTCCCGTCCGACGACCCCTCGACCAAAATGGGAGTCGTCGGCAAATTTTAGGGAGTTGTTTTTCCAACCCCCTAAGGATAATATTGAACTGTTAAAGTTAGTGGACATTTTGAGTAATGAAAATAGTTCCCCTGAGTTAATTGCTAGTCTACCCCCTAGTTTGGCAAAACCTTATTCTGAAGGAAAATTCACTTTGTTGGATGGATTACTATACTACAGGAATAGACACTCTGGCGTTTTAGTACTTTGTGACCAGGCACAAATTGACAACATTGGAGAGGATAAAACATACTGCCTGGTGATTAGACTGGAGATCTCAGGTGACCAATTACGTCAAATCTTGTGAAATTTGCCAAAAATCAAATAAACAAACAGGAAAGAGATATGGGCTATTCCAGAAAATTACTGAACCCAGTACTAAGTGGGAAATAATTAATATGGACTTTGTCATAGGATTACCTCCTGGAGGAGCCTATTCTCATAACTCTGTCCTAGTGGTAGTAGACAGGTACTCCAAGAAAGCCAGGTCTATCCCAAATCATAGGGATGACACGGCAATGGAAGTAGCCATGTTGTTTTGGAACAGAATTATGGCTGACGTAGGAATTTCCAAAATTGTCATCAGTGATAGAGATCCCAAATTTACTTCAGAATTTTGGAGGAACCTACATGACATGCTAGGAACTAGATTAGCCTTTTCCACGGCCTACCATCCTCAAACAGATGGCCTGGCTGAAAGAATGATTCAGACCTTAGAAGGTTCTGTTCATTTGGTTTAGAGTTCAAGAATCATGATGGCTACATTCATGATTGGGTTAGTTTATTACCTGCTCTTGAAATTGCATACAATAGCAGCAAGCATTCAACCTCAAATGAAGTACCATATGTCTATGAGAGAGGATGTGTCAGCCACAGAGTACATGTCACAGTACCTTTCATGTACCAAGTAACTGTAACACCTGTACTTACTTACATAAGTACATATCCATAATGTTGTTGACCCTTACCTCTTGTTATCTTATCATTATTATTATCTTATCTCATTTACTTTATATTTATCTTATCTGTTGATTACTTATCTATTTTATACATACCTGTGTTATAAATAAGTAATTACCACTTACCTTTCACTCCTTTATCCGTGAAATACCTGTACCACAAGTCATCCCTGATCTACAGTATTTTCACAGACAAATATCTTTATAAATAAATATGTACATGCTTTGAATATTAAGTATCAATTAATCATTGAATGAATACAATCAATACATGTACTGATTTTAATAATTACCTCATTATTTATTGTGTGATCTTAATAATGACTTCATTCTTATTTATCCTTGTCCTCAAAGTCATCACAGACAAGAACAATTACAAATAAAAGGTTCATGTATTGTTTTGTATTACGATTTGAATTAATACAATCAATACATGTACAGTGGGTGGACCGTTATTTTTGGCTGCTTGTTTTGGATTCTACAGCTTCAAAGCACAAACTTCAAGTCACAAGACTTGGTGAAGGGGTGAAGAATAGGTCCCAGAAAATGAATATGAAGAAATAAAAGCAAAAAACAAAGTTTCAAAATTTGTGAAAAATAAAAAATTAAAATGTTTTTTTCCAAAAGCTTTGTTATTCATTTTGGGGGAGTGGGAGTGCTGAGAGATGGAAAGAGTGGAACATGACAAGAATGATTATAAATGAAAAAAATTAGAACCAAAAAAGGTTGAGCCAGGTTGGTTGTCCAGATTGGAGTCAAAACAGTAAATTCTAGTGCTTTACTGCAATGTGAGCTGGTGAATGCCCCACTCAACAACTGGTTAAAACTATATGGTAACCACTTTTTCCAAAATTTTCATTTATAATCATTCTCCCCCATTTCCCCATTCTTTCTTTCTCTCTGCACTCACACTTCCCCAAAATGAATAACAAAGCTTTTGAAAAGAATCATTTTTATTTTTTATTTTTCACAAATTTTGAAACTTTGTTTTTTGTTTTTATTTTTTCATATTCATTTTTGGGACCTATTCTGCACCAATTGGCCAAGTCTCATGACTTAAATCTGGTGCTTTGAAGCTCTGGGATCCAAAACAAGCAGCCAAAAATAATGGTCCACCCACTGTACTGATACTTATTTGTAATTTTATTTGAAAGATCTGTTAGCTGCACACGTCACAAATACTAGTTACTGATCCTCTAATAAATACCATGACAGCTTTAACAGATCATTACAAATAAAGATCAGTTATTGAATTAAACCTGCTCTTCCCCTTGGTACTTTCACCCGTGATTCAGAGCACTTCTTCATTTCCCCATGTAATATTCTGGTACTTATAATCCGTGCCACTTCCACTGAGTAATCTCCAGAATATTCAGACACCAGTTAAACCAGTTAACATTTATATTGATACAAGTACACGTAACCAACATAAATCTAGTCTACCTTTATTGTTCTTAAGCTTCAGTACTCTTATTCAACTTATCCACAATATTCATAGCCTTGCTGAATATTCCCATCAACAATACCTATCAATCTTCAACTAATTTTGTTAAAGCTTAATAAGTATTGTTAGCCCATTCCCTTTTGGGAATAACCAAATCAATCCCAGGTGAGTCTTAGTACCCCGGATGCCTATTAATACCTAGTATTGATCCGGATGCGCTGTTGATAGCAAGCCTCTCAGTAAAGACCATACTGATAGAGTGAAACCTCCTCTTTACAGGACTGGTATTAATCACCCACTACCTAACACTCACCACGCTCAAACACTCCAGTCAACTCATAGTAACAACCTTTTTACTAATAAACACTCAGGTTAGTTACCCAGAGGCTGACAGGATGGATCCCAAGAATGCCTAAGGATACCCTTAATGATAAGTTACCACATATACACCCTACTGCTCTAGACTTTAAAAAGATGCTTGATGTTACTCAAAATCATGCTAAGAAATGTGTTGAAGATACAGTAGAATATAACAAGAACAGATGGGATAAGAGCCATAAACAACCAGATTTTAAAATTGGGGATAAGGTTCTACTATCTACAGTAAATTTTAATAATCTGGGGGGAAATAAGAAACTTAAACCATCCTTTATTGGCCCGTTTACCATTAGCGGGGTTCACGATAGCTTCTCGCAAGAAGCGATTTCTTCTCGCGCGAGAAACCGCAGCACTGCTGCAGGCTTAAAATTTAGCGCAGAACTTAAAATTTTCGCTGGGAAAATTGACATCAGCAATGCGCGAGCAAGAAAAAAAAATTACGGGTGCGAGAAGCGAAAAACGCTATCGTGAACCCCGCTATTAAAGACATACATGGAAAAAATGCAGTAGAGGTCATCTTGAGTGAAGAACTCTCCAGGAAACACCCTGTATTTCCGGTAAGCCTGGTAAAACCTTACACAACAAGAGAAAACACTGAGCCAAAGCCATGTCCTCCAGTCTCAATAATGGAACCTAGTAAGGATGAGAAACTTCATGTAGCTAAAATATTAAAGGACAAGAAAGAAAGAATTCAAGGAAAGGACACAAGGCTTTACTTATTCAGGTATAAAAACCAATCTGCAGATAAGGATGAGTGGTTACCAGAGTCTAATATACCTGATTGAGCAATTCACTTGAGGAATTACAGAGCCTCTAAGGGGAGTTATGTGCCTGAAACCCAAAAACAATTTTCATACTTTGTCAAAGCTATTTTAATACTTTTATTTGCTATGAGTAGGAAACTCATCTTAGGGGTAGGGAATGTCAGCCTGCTACTATTCAGAGACAACCTGACCATAGCATATTAAATATTTAGAGACATTATTACACATACTACCCCCATAGCATATGTAATTAATGTCTATTTTATATGTACAGTCTCCTCCCAGATGTTTATAGCCATCTGTTTTGAGCTCCACACCGGGAACCCAAACATTTCAAGTCACAAGAATTTGTGGAATGGTGGAAAACGGGTCTTAAAGAATGAATATGAAAAAATAATAACAAAAAATAAGATTTTAAAATTTGTAAAAAGTAAAAAGGAGAAAATCACAAAAACTGACAGCTCTGATATTTCTTTCAGGAAAAGATGAAATGTCCAAAGTGATAGTATGAGATCTGGAATGAATGATAAAAAGTGAAAATTTGGAAAAAAATGACTACTTGGTGGTTTAAAAAGGGTGCCTAGGGGGTCATTCATCAAGAAATGTGGCATTCTTGTACTGCAATCTACTGATTTTGACTGCAGGGTGTCCACCCACCAAAGCAAAAGCTAGAATATTATTTCAGATACTTAACCTCCATGGAAAATAACCTAGGGTACCTCACCAAAGGTACCCCTTAATTATTACTCCTTCAGGCACTTCTGTGTACTCTGAGTGACACTTGTTCATTTTGCTAGAAACCCTCCCAGTTACATCATACTACATGTTGTGACAGGTCTACACATGTAATTAAGGTTCATGCAGTTCGGGAAAAATCCAAAAATAAGGTTGACATCATTGAAACCTTAACTACATTGTCACAACAACTGTAACTGGCTAGTCAAAAGCCATTTGTGGCCCTTTTTGGCCCAATTTGGCTAACTACGCCTTGTTAAGACCAGCCCACTGGTCATTAAAGGGTCTCAGTGACCAAACCATGGCTGCAGGTTTGTCAAAGCACCCCCTAGTGTGTGTTACAAGCCTCACTTCAGCCCTCTGACATCTGTAACCAAGGACTACAGGTGTCTAGGCAGTGCTACAGGTCACCAATGCCTAGTAGGAGGCTTGCACCAGCCAAACAGAGTTCTGAGTTTGCCTCCAAGGGCCCAGAATGAGTATATAAGGAGCCCTTCTTGCTCCCAAACTCTAAATCCTCATCTTGATTTACCACTTACCAGCAATAACCACCTCCAACAACCAGTTTTTCACCTGTTTTTGGCCCAGTTCCTGCTGTTTCTGTCTTGGATATCACCAACCCAACCAGCAACTGTTCCCCAGCACTCTTCCAACACCTGTTACCCAGTTTTCTGAGCGCTCCCAGACCAGTTTTCACCCACCTGAAGTCCCCTTGGCTTGGAAATAATACTAAGTAGGTAATATTTCCTTGATACTTCAGTTGTAGGCATTTTGTCTGGGCATACTCCTTTACACAAAGGACCAGATCATCAGGTACATCAAAAATACCCCTGTTTAACAGGTCCTGATTCATTGGAGGGCACCATAAAAACCCCTGTAACTCAGGCCCCTCCCTTTATAAAAACTTAACAGTTTTTATTTCCTCTTTTCTTAACATTAAAAACTCCCCTTTCCAAGTGTTACCCACACTTGTACATACCATTTTCTTAGTTTGCACCTGGTGTAGCTAGAAGAGACCAGCTCTTGGCATCACTCAGGCTGAAATGTTTGCCATCAGAGTTATAGCTGCTGATTGATTTGCGCAGTCAACAGTGGAGACAATGGTCGCAGCCCTTAATAGGTGCGCTGAGGCAGGAGAGATGGAGGCTCGATGATGATGAGCTGTTTCTTGTGTGCACGGCCGAGCTGGACGAATAGGATGAGGGTCTCGTTGAGTGAAGGCTGGATCATGGATGGCCCCGTCAAGAAGCATCTCCGATCCTCCCTCCGCACAGCTCCTCATCATCTTGTCTGAAGGCTGTCATTGTCTGGACTCAGCATGAGAGCATGCATGCCACCCTATCTAATAAGAAGAGATTCAAGAGGATGAGTGCGTGTCTTTTTCAGGAAATGAAAAGCACTTTATAAAGGGAGGGAGGGAGGGGAGAGGGAGTGTGTGTATTGACCTAGCTGGATTGAAACTCAGTGTTCTTATGTTAGCGTGTCACGATTTCTCTTTATGATCAAGTTGATAACACTGACCCTGAGGAACAATTGGTATTGGCCAACACATTGTACTATGCCTCTTCCGTCTACAAACCTAAGACAGTCATCAGTGCAAACATCTTTTATTTCTTCAACTGTCTTGACTGATCCAATCTTCTTCTTCTTCACTCTAGATTAGTATCAAATCTAATGCTATCACACACGGCTTGATCATCCATCATCTCTGTTGTAGCGGGAAGATCAAAGACATAAAAGGGGCTCATAAATGGTTGGAAAAGATTGAAGAGAGGGGAATGTAAGCACTCTCCTCTGATCAACGTGATCATCAACTCGGGATCCAATAGACTTTCTCATCTTTTTCTCATATTGAATTGATGTAGAGCCACGACAGATCTCACTCGTACAGCTTTGATCCAATGATTTCTTCACACACATATTGAAGAATATGAAGCACAAACAGAAGGCTTTCAGACACAGAAATAAATGAGAGTACCCAAAATTTTTCTAATCAGGTTGAGATATACGACTATCATAATGATTGTGATTTTTGAACTAGAAAACTACAAGACTGCAGCAAAAGATTTATTCTTCTTTCTCATGAGGAACTAATGAGGACTGAACTACTTGCTGAGATCGCGTAGCTTGACAAGGTTATCAGGAATGCGGATATTTTTTTTTGCTATCAAAATCACTTCTACAAGGTCAATGTACCTATCAGTAAATACTTGAATGACTCAGCATGAAAAACCTACAAATCCACCTTACCTGGCAAAAATTGGATGGTGGGGTAGTAATCCACTTGAGAGACCACTTGATCAACAGGAAATGCTCCTGGTAAGTCCGAAGAAGTGTGCTGAACTTTATTGTCAAAAAGTGAGGCAGGCAAGGTGAACTGCTTGGACAATGCTTCGGATGAATCCACAAGAAGCCAGTCATCAAGTTTGTTCTTGTATTCAAGCAAGAGATTTGGTGGTGAACTGAACAAGAAAGTGTCATATCTTGTGTCATCCTTGGGGTCCCAATAATGGAGGCTACCCACTGCGCCTGCAGATTCAGGGGTTGCTTGAGTGGAAGGTCAAGAAAACAAAGTTTAAATCAGAAGGTCTCTCAATTGTCTCAAGCTTGAAGATATTCTCACTGGGTATGTTAGCTTTCAAGACAATCCCGGCTTGACCTTGTTGAATGTAACGCCATTCAAGACCTAATTTGAGTCGACTTACGGATGGTTTAATAGTTGGGTCTACAGGGTCAAGGATACACCACTTCCTTCCCACATTCATGCGGGAAATTGCTTCAGAAACATCACTATCTTGAATTGATAGTGAGGACGGATATAAGGTGAATGAAACTCTTCTGCTTCCGGTGCGAGGATAGTTGATAGTAATGGAACTGGGGACTAAAAAACCCATGCATGCAATTAGTTTTTTCCCCTCTTTTGTAGAAAAAATCTATCAAGTAGGTGTAAAGTGGACAACATGCTTACTTGTCTTATTCTTTCCCTTTGGTGGTGTAACTGTGCCAACAGGTGCAATCCTGCTATTTGGTTCAACTCCTTGAACATGAGTCAACATTTCGGGTTTGTTATCAGCAACAATTTCCAAATTGCACAATTCATCCCTAGACTTTGGGGTGAGAGGTTCTACATATGTATATGTATGATGTTAGTCAGGCATGACGTTCAAGATAATGAGATTGTTGACTTACCCAACACTGGCTGAGGACTTGGTTGTAAAACAAGTGTGTCTGGGACAACTGGTAAAGCTGGACTATTGCTACGCTGCCAAAAAACCCAATTGGTTGCTGGGGCCACAAAAATTAAAGAACCTTATATTGGTACTGCTATTTAAATCAGACAGAAAGCAAGAATAACATACCTCTACCCAGCTTTCTGTCTATCAGCTTGATCAAACTTGCTTGTTGATCAATGAAGGCAAGCAGATTGTATCATCGAGGCCTTTGAGGAACTTAACCAGATCCCACTTGTGGAGATGGGAAGCTCGGGGATTAAAGTCTTCTGGGTTCATGACAGCGGACAGAATCTGAATGGTGTGATGGGAATTTTTGAGGTTTATAGGTAAGATGTGTACTTGTGGTTCTGGGGGTATGAGGATGTAGAGATAAGGATAAAAACAGCATCTACTTATAACAGTCAATTTTGGATTCCAAAGAGAGAAGGCACATAATGGGGCGGCACAATAATGGAAAGAGGCACTGGAATATTTGGACCATAATATAAATTGAGAGTGTCATGCTCGAAGATTCATGCCCAAAGTGATGTTACCAATGAGGAATAGTTGAGTTTAGAGCTTTGGATTGTGTTGCAATGAGATTTTTGAATTCTAATTTTTATCTGCAAGCCAAATATGTCCAGGGAAGCAGAACTATTGCTGCAACTGCAGACCCATCCAAAAAGGATTGTGCATGTACAGATAACTGATACCAATACCAATCAACCAATTTCTCAACTACATAGAAAACTTGCACTATGTGAGAGGACCACACATGTATACATGGGGTCTAACACTGGTAGTCCTAGTCACCCAAAAAGGTGAAGGCAAGCACAATATGATAAAGGCAGACTGTAATTTTGATGACTAGTCTGACACTATTCTTCAACATGGTCATTAATGAAGCAAGCAGGTCTCAATTGGGATATGGTGTCTTGGCTGCATGGCACTAGAGGTGTCTCAGCTTTGCCTTGAGTCTGCCAATGTCCCAAAGGGACACCAACCCAAACATACCACTCAACAGACTCGTTAACTCCTGCTATGCTCCAGTATTCTACAAACTTGACACAATCATTCAAGGCATGAGTCTGAGACCATCTACATATCATTTTTGGGAATTCCTCTGACCAAGTGCTCTGATCTGAATTGATTGCCAACCCTTACTTCCTCCCTTCTTTGACAATCTGTTATTGTGTCTTTCAACAATACCAATACCAATACCAACCCACCCACCACCAATGAATCTTTAAATGAAATACCTCCTCATTTGCAAATTTTACTCAATGTAGCTCTGGATTGACAAGGCAAAATATATCAAGGTACAATGAAAGAAATGTCAGATGAGCTCAAACAACTCAAGATGACTCGTGGCGGTCCTCAAAGTGAACCAGGTCAACAATTATTGGGACAATCAAAGCAAAAAAATCTGTCTGTACCGCTGTCCCTATCCCAAGACCATCTGCACCTCCTAGAATGGCAACTAGAGCCCAAACCCAAAGAGCTGAAGCAACAGCTACAAATGTTCGACGTGAAAACTTTCATCGAGCGCAATCCAAACCTGTTTCCTCCACTGGCCATGCAGTCACTCCAAAGAAAGTAGGGGCTTGTGCTAATTTGAAGAATCACTCACCGTCAACCACCAAGAATCTACCTAATCAAATGATGCTGGATGATTAGCCCGACAATTTTCTTGATACCAAGGTAAGTCATTGCTTCAGCAATTTCAAAACACTAGTTGGAAGCTGATTCTCAATTTTTCCCCTACTTCTCAGGAATGTCTATTCACTCACATTTGACTACTGTGGGGGATGGTTGAAGTGAGTACTCCACCACCACCTGCAAACCCTGAACTTGTCAGGCAGTTTTGCTCCAGTTTCAAGGACATCAATGACTTTGAAATACGTATCAACAATTCAAATGCGGCTGCACTTATAGCTCAAGCTGATGTGCAGACCCTGAAAGATGCTTGTGCTGGGAACATTTGGGTTGGCTGGAACTTCATCCACATTGGCGAGATGCACCTGTTGTACATACATGGATATCTTGCAAAATTGGGAATACAATGCTGGGGACCTGACCTTGAAGAAGGTCCTGAAAGCCTTTTCAACTCAGCTTGCCGGATTGCAGCTCTTAAAACCTTCCAACAAGTGGCTGGCGCAGGTTCCTACGACTTCATGAATTTCAACCATGACTATAAGGACAACATGGTCCGATTCATCGACGCTTACAATCACTATGTACATCACGTCTCTTCAAAAAAGTTCCAAGCCAAAATCAAACAGCCTGGAAAATACAAAGAAACTGTAGAATTAAAGACCACATCAAGAAACCGTGCCTGAGTAAGAATTGTATTTCTTCAAATCAATATCCCTTTACAGATACTGACCTATTCTCCTCTCAGTTATGTGATGCCCGCTACAAGTTTGCTGTGGCCAATTACTTCCCCGAACAATATCAGAAGATCATCAAGGAAATCACTGCCAATAGTGATGATGAGTGGGATCCAAATGCCAAGTGTTTCTCTATACGGTGTGTTGAGACCAATCAAGGTCATATATAATACAAAATAGCTATTTAAAGTAGTTTTCATGTTATTACAACCAGATATGCATATGATACATAACCCTTTATCTTGTATCCAGTTAAAAACATTATAAGATAGTAGCTTTTACACTCATTTGGCTACATAATATATGGTACTACATAGCTACAACATACTACATATCACACACCTAAGAATACAAATCAGTCCTTCCACAGTACATTCCTACTTTCTACAATAATAATCTTTCAGTAGGTTTTATTTATTTCATCTCAGATACCACTTAGTCAGACTACATATAATATTTCATCCCATACATCTGCTTTCTCATCCAGATATTGTCATCTCATCTCACTCATCATCCACTTCTTTTCATACATCAATTACTTCATTCTACATTTATTTTATTCTACATTTATTTCATACTACATTTGTTTCATATATCCATCTCATTTCAACTCATTACTCATTGCTTATATCACCTACATATATATTTCACCACACAGATTTCTCATCTCACCTCAGAATATTTATTTCAGTCCTTATTATCTCATTTCTTTTGCACTACATATTATTTTTATCACAAACAGAAGTTACTTCATATTTTCTCCTTTTCAACATGTTTATTTCACACTACAAATTTGTCAGCCAAATTTATTTCATAACCACTTGTCTTTCAGATACAACTTATTTCATACCATCTTCTTATTTCAGCTGATATCTTACCCCTAGTACCTGATCAGAATCACCCACATGTATATAAAGAATACTCTTTCCCACTTACTTTGTTCCCCATGCTTGCATTAGAGAAGTAAACAGATAATTATTTAGCAGACATCACTTACTAGAAGTTACCAGAAGTAACTATTATTGATTTTCCCCCAGAAGATAAGAAATTGAACCCAGAAAATATTATCCCCCAGAGCCTCATCCTTACCAAAATTCCCCACATCCTCACACTCTCAACAGGTGCCTTGTACAAGACATCAGTAATAAACCTCATACTAAGATTACCCACAGAAATAGTCACACCTTTTCTTTAATTCTTATTGTAACTCTCTCCCAAGCCTTGACAAGAGGGCAGCTTCACCAGCATCCAAGTCTTCAACTCACATTTTCCCCTGTGTAGTTGTTCTTTTCCCCTCTAAGCTCTTTTCTTTAGCTTGAAAAGTTCCACAATGGAAACTTCCATATCAATCTCACTTGGCAAATATCTTTTTCTGTTGAATTGATCAAGTGATGAAAGATGTGGCTAGTGCAGCTGGAAGGACTTCCCAAATGAGGGTCCGCAAACTACCCAAGGGTCCTGTCACATCAGGATTCACAAAGGTCCCCAAAAACCTCCCCTTGGATTTCTATCATTGTGGGTGGTTGAGTAAACTACCCATTTCTCAACAGCAGTCAATGCTGAACTTAGAACAGGTGGCATTCTTACCCAATCCAACAAAGTCCCTCTTGCCCAAGAATCATCCACGACACAACCAGATTGAAGATTTAACAGATTGTCAGTTCAACACACATCATCCCTGACATGATTTCCCAGATGGGAAATCTTGTAAATTTTGGGGAAATCCTGTAAAAAAAATCAAGATTTTTTATATTTTTCCAAATTCCTTAGATTTTTCCAGATTTTTTGGATTTTTTCATATTTTTATGGAGGTACTGAACAGCTACTTTGGCCCAAAAAAAAAACAAATGAAAACGTGGGGATAAACCACCAAATGATGCCCCTGACCTTGATGGGAGTGTATCCTCCAATGATGACTGGTTTTGACCAGTCATTGCTGGGGGTGTTTACTCCCATCAATGACTGGTTTTGACCAGTCATTGCTGGGGGTGTTTACTCCCATCAATGACCGGTTTTGACCAGTCATGGCTGGGGGTCTTTACTCCCATCAATGACCGGTTTTGACCAGTCATTGCTGGGGGTGTTTACTCCCATCAATGCCCGGTCAAAACAGGTCATCAATGGGGGTGTTTACTCCCATTAAGGACCAGTCAAAACCAGTCCTTGATGAGAGTGTGTCCTCCCATTGATGACCGGTGTCATAAATGGTCATCAATGAGGGGACTGTATGGCCAAATTGGCTGATGGATTTGTTTGTTTTTCATATTTTTTTGGGCCTTAATAAAAAACATAGTTTTTCTGCATTTTTACGCCTTTCCTCAGCTGTGTAGCACGCGCGGTGTGGTAAGCCACTCCTGAAAATTCCAAAATTATCAAGAGCACAAATCACAGAAGAATCACACAGCCAAGACATCCCAGAAAGCTCCCAGACCCCCAACCAAACACTCATGGAACCACCCTGGCACAATTCACATGGTTAATATAATTTCCCCCTCCCATCCCAACAGAAACTCCACACCCTTGAAACTTACTCCCCTCCAAAAAATTCCATTCTTCCTCCTCCTTGTGTCTCACACTAGTAAAAATCCCCTTGCCCATGAAACTGTTATCTCCTCGTATTCCCTTCAATGGAATATTCCACCCCTTAGTTGTTTCATACTAGTAACCTTGGGAGCATTTGCCCACTGCTTGTTTCCCCTGTTTTTATGGATAAATATATTTTCTATTGTTTCATGCTCTCATAGAATGTTCTATTTATCTTCCAACCACAAGTTGGCCACTCCCCAGACTTTTGTATATAAAGAGCTTTGTTTTTCCTCTTCCTTTGTTCCTCATCAGAGCCTGCCTCAGCAATTCACATAACTGATTACCCACTATTAGCCAGGTTTATGCCCATCAACATTTGGGATACCTTGATTTGTGAACAAGTATATTTAGACTAGTAAGCATAAGAAAAACTAGACATACCATCCTCAAGAAATCTCCAAAGCCACACCTTTCCTTAAGAGTCCATACTCTTATATTTTCTTGTTACCTTACTCATTGTAGTTACCAGAGAGGCAGCCCATTAAAGCACCTCTCCCTCTCAAGCTCTATTCATCCCAATAGTAGTTCCACAGCGGATTCCATGTTTAGACACTTTTTTATTAATCATACATGCAATATGCACAGTTTTGCCTCCAGGGGGCACGCCCACGTACCACATGTGCCTGCATGAGCTTTGAAAATTTTCCTGCAGGCACCAAACAGCAAAACCACTCACCATAATCAAAAGCGGACTTCAACACACCACAACTCAGCCAATTCTCAACCAAAATTGACAAAAAAATACCAAAAATATTCTTTTTCTCTCCTCTTCAATGCCACAGTCTTGGATTTTTTTTTTGATTCAACTTCAATTCACTCCCAGCTTGTAGGTACACTCTAAACTTCAACAAACCACAAATTGGCCATTTATCAACCAAAATTAACAAAAAAAACCAAAAGTAGCCTTCTTTCATACTCTTCACCCCCATTATCTCCAATTTTGCTGATCAATCTCCTGTTTTTTTTCAAATCATTAGTAGGCCTCAAACTTCAACTCTGAATAACTCAGGTGTTTCTCAACCAAATTCTTCAAGGAAACCATCAAGAATAATATTTTTTGATCCTCTTTACTGCAACCATCTCTGTTTTTGCCAATAGACCTCTCGTTTTTTTAAATCATCGCTGGAACTCTAGTAAGACTCAAACTTCAACTCAGAATAACTCAGCCATTTCTCAACCAATCTCTTCAAAAAAAACCATCAATAATATCCTTTCTTGATCCTCTTCAACACCACCGGATCTGTTTTTGCCAACAGACCTCTTGTTCTTCTTGAATCATTGCTTGAACCCTAGTAGGAATCAATCCCCAACTCCAAATAACTCAGCCATTTCTCAACCAATTTCTTCAAGAAATCCATCAAAAATATTCTTTCTTGATCCTCTTGAAATCCACCGTCTCCTTTTTTGCCAAAAGACCTCTTGTTTTTTTTCAAATCATTGCTGGAACCAACGGTGCAACAGAGACGATACAATACGGTATCAGGCATTTATCTGTATTGTCTCAGAATTTGAATACCCAAAAATACCGGATTTGTGCTGTCTCACTTTCCTGAGACATACACATGTCTCGTATTTGAAAAGTGAAAAATGTATTCTGTATTGTCTCAGATGACTGATCCCACCAAAACTGTATTTGATACATAAGATATTTGGCCATATTGAAGAAAAAACAAAAAAAAACAAAGACATTTTTTTCATTTTTAAATCCAAATCCAGTACAATGTATTTTCTCACCAACCAAGGAAATACTGATACCAGTATCAGGCTCAAAATAAATACAATACAATCCGATACGAATACATGTCTCGTATCTGTTGCACCGTTGCTGGAACGCCAGTAGGACTAAAACCCCAACTCCAAATAACTCAGTGATTTCTCATCCAATTTCTTCAAGCAAACCAAAAATATCCTTCTTTATTGATCCTCTTCACCCAAACCATCTCTGATTTTTCAACTCATCACAATCTTTTCTCAAACCATCACTCAACTTCAACCAACACCAATGTCATCCGATAATATGTCTGAAAGTCAAAGCCACATCAACCCCTCCTTACTTCATTGCCAATATCTCAGGACACATCTGAATCTCACTTTAACCCCCTCCTCAATTTGTCCCAATACCACATCAACCCACTTCTTCAAAATGCGTCAATGACGGCTCCGTTGACCAATCTTCATTACCTTGTGCTGCCTCCTGAGTTATCTCATGTAACCAGAAGGGAACTAGATGAAGATGCTCAAAGGTGTTCCTTGGAGCATGGGTATGCCATTAAGAAGACCAACACTACAACTTACAAAGGGGAAGACTGAGCGACTTATAAATGTGACATATGTGGCAATCCAGATGAATCAAACCCTGACAAATTGGGCAAATCCAAAAAGATAGGCAGTCCTTTTGAAATGTTGGGCAACTTCTACAAGAAGCAAGGATGCTACCAAATCAAGATCAAGACTCCGCATCACAACCACCCAGCTTCTGATGATCCACAGACAATTGACTGAAGGCCAAAAAGAAAATGTTATGGAATTAACCAACGCCTGTGTTGCCCCCTTGAAGATCAATTCGGCCTTAATACAAGAAGCAAACACCCCTTTGCACGCCACCCTCAACACTCTTTAAAATCACCAAGGAAAGATGTGCATTGACCAGCTCTAACCCCATTTGAGGCTCTCGTGCATCAAATCCAAGAGCACAAGTTCTACTTCATGATTGATAGTGTCAAAGGCCACATGACCTCATTCTTTTTTTCTCACCCCCATTCACTTGAATTGTTCAAAAGATTCCCAACAACTATCCTCCTTGATTGCACTTACAAAACAAACAAGTACAACATGCTTCTCCTGCATATTGTTGGAATGAATTTGTGTAATATGTCCTTCAAAGTGGCTTTGTATTTCCTCTTGGCTGAAAAGGAGCCCAATTATACGTGGGCCCTTGAGCATCTTCTTCTTTCAATGGATAGTCAATTACACTCAGTTATTGTTACCAACCACAAACAAGCAGTCATCAATGCAATCAAGAAGGTATATCCCAACACGGCCCACCCTCTGCTTGTGGCACATCCTCAAGACCATCAAAAATAATTGCCTCAAATATTTGAGCAGTGAAGAGAAATGGTAGACATTCCAATCCACATGGAGGTAATTGAGGCAGTCGCCTACTTTGAAGGAATACAAAGAGAATTAATCCAAGCTCCCCAAGACTTGGAATCCAGACACTGCTGTCTGCTTGATTACAATAGTCCTTCCTCTGTGATGGAAATCGGAGAGATGGAAGCACACAGGTGTGTATATATTTCATGTATGTAGACTGTAAGGTATATATACATGAAGTAGAAAAGGGGCTAGGTGAGAACCTCTGTAACCCCTTCCTGGGTTACAACACTCCCCCCTCACCTAGCCACCATCCATGAGTCTCCCCCGAAAATGTTCAAAGGGCTCTTTGGATAGTACTTTGGTGAGGATGTCCGCAATCTGTTCCTTGGTTGGTACCCAGATTAATTCGGTCTAGTTCTTTTCATGCAAGGCTTGGTTTGTGAGGTAGAATTCCCGTTCCACATGCCTGACTCTTTCGTTCCCGGAGTAGTCTGTGCTGACACAAATAGCCGCTTGATTGTTGCAGTGCATTAGACCTGTGAAACTTTTCTTAAGTATGTCTGTCAGTAAGTGTCTCACCCAGAGAGAACTTGCTGCGTTCCTATGCCAAGCACCATGTACTCAGCCTGGCATGTCATGGCTGCTATCGTTGCAAACCTCCTGGATGTCCACATCACCGGGCAGCCGTAGAAGGTGACAACTGTACCGTACGTTGACTTGGCAAATTCCCCTCCCCACGATGCATCACAGAAGCATTTGAGAGGTTTCTCAGAGTTATCTGGGAAGAGATTGAGCCGGAGTTGTTGAGAGTCAGCAATATACCCAATAAGATGTCTTACTCCTTTCCAGTGATTCACTCCTGGACTAGCTGAGAACCGCGCTAGTAGATTCACCGCAAAGGCTATGTCTGGACGGCTGCCTACTGCTAAGTAGCTCAGCGAACCTATGATGGACAATTAATCAGTAGACTTTGACGCGTCACCGTCAGGGTCAGTAACTAGCGTGAGGGAAGGGGGAAAAGGGGTCTTGTGAGTTGTTACCCCATCCCAGTGGGCATCCAGGATCTGTTTGATCAGTTTCGGTTGTCAAAGACTAAAGCCTGCTGCTGACCGCTTAATTTCTAGTCCCACAATGGAATCTAGGCTCTCTGACCATTTTATCTTGAGCATTCCTTTTAGCCTGTCTTCCAGCGCTTTCAGAAGTTCCTTTGACGATCCAGTGACGATGCCATTGTCGACGTGAACCCAGATCACTCCGTGATGATCTTGATGCTTGACCGTGTAGAGACTGTTGTCGTATTGGCTAGCCTCAAAACCCAGGGTTTCCAAAATTCCTTTCAAATGGAGCCACCAGCATCGAGCCGCCTGCTTGGTGCCATATAGAGCCTTATTCAGTAGCATCGCCTCTCCAGGTTGAACATCGAGTCCCTCTGGCGCTTCAACCCAGACTTCCTCATTGATTGGGGCGTTGAGATAGGCCACTACAAAATCAAAGGAGAACACAGGCCATTGAAACTTGGCTGCCATAATTGATCCCCTTTAGCTGTCAAGAAAGAGGTCTCTCCATTGGCATTCTTTCGGCCAGGCGAGTCGTCAGGAATGTATGCATAGGCCGGGTTGAGCACATTTTGGAAGCCATTGTCAACAACCAATGGGGTATCAACCCATGAGAAATTGGCAAACAATGGACATGCGGTGCAAGCAGGGCAAATTGGATTCGGAAATGAAAAATAGTCACCCTCCCGATGGAGTTCACGGGTTGGCATTGGACAATAAAAGTTGGGACGTGTTGGCAAGGACAAATCCAAAGGGGGTTCATTGGTTGGTGTTGTAGTTTGAAGGGAGTGGTCAGGAGCAGGAAGACCTGTTGCATCATATCTGATCGGAAGAGCCGCACCGTCACCGGCCAAACTGTCCGCCGAGAAGGGTGGAACCTCGGAAATGTCTCTAATTTTGTGCTCTTCTTCACCCTCGTTGTGGTAAATAATACTGTGTTTCTACGCAGAAAAATATAAAAATTTATTATTATCTCTTTATATATTATAGATATGGTAAAAATAACATCAGAAATGGATTTCTCAGGTAAAATTAACCCTAGTCACCCACTACAACTGACCCCATATCTCTCATAGTTTAGAAGTTACACAGATTTCAACCTGTCACGGGATATCTTTTGGATTCTTTACTCTCAGTATGGCTTGTTTTGAATACTGGATGCATATTGAATATTGAATTCCTTTGTGTTTTATTGAATTCCTTTATAAGCACATAGTGCATATTGAATTCCTTTGTAGGTGCACATGCATTCCTTTGTAGTAGGACCTTGTAGGCTAGCCAAATTCCCTCAAGGCAGTGCTCTCACCAGCCAAATTCCCTCACCTGCATGTACTAGACTAGCTAAAATCCCTCATTGGATCTTCAGGCCAGCTAAAATGCCTCAAAAGCCTGTACCCTGGGGCTAAAATACCTCACATTTGTCTATATAAGGAGGCCTCTGCCTGCCAGTTGTTCCCTCCATCATCCCACCAGTGGACCAGATCATCTCAACCACCCTTATAAATAAATTCATCTTATATATTATTTCATAACTACAAGTCTTAGCCACATTACAATTACAGATTCATAACACATTGAAATACAGATTTAACACTTTCATCATCATCATAAACCAAAAGTGCCCTGAACCATATCCATCAACAACAACTTCATCAATATAACCAACAGTCAACAACACCTTTATACCTCACACATATCAATCAGCAGCTTCATCTCGAAATTATCCCTATCACTATATATAAAATTGCCAAGCTAAGCTTGGTGGTCTTGTTATTCTGATAGTATAGAAGGGCAGAGCTTGCAACTCCAACATACCCTTCTCCATTCAGCAAAAGGGTTTTCATAATCACTTTTGAGTCTTACATCGTCATCCGAATTCTCAATGTCCACCTTAACGAGAGCCAAGAGGGATTGCAGGTGCGCCAGCTCCTTGGATTTCAATGCTGGGTGACTTTCTAGCTCCTGATCCTTGACGTAAAGTTCCAAACCTATGGAAATAGATAATGCAAAGTGTGTTAGCTGCGGTGGATGACCAATGGGCCACATTCAAATGAAAAGCAAATCTTACGTGATTGATCATTCCCGGTTGACATATCCAGGTTGAGGGTGGGGGTTGATGAAATTATGGGTGGTGGTTGGCTGGTCTGAAAAGGTAATGAAACAAATAAGTCACCTTTTTCCCAAAACTGCAGGCACATTGGGTGGTTAGCCTCTCCACATGGCTGGATATCTGGCCATGGGGGGTTAAATTGGCCCATTTGGTGGCTCTTAGGTTCCTGAGGGACCCCCTTGGGCCCCCCGGGAGGGCCGATATCTTGCAACCAGGCCTTGGGCCCCCCAGGACGGCAGGATACATTGCAACCAGGCTGAATTTGGCCCCTATAGGGGGACTGAGACCCAAAAAAAAAAGAAAAAAAAGAAAACATAAAGTTTGGCCCCTTTAGGAGGATAGAGACCCAAAATAAATCAATCCTTACAATTTTTTACCCCAGGTACCAATTTTTGCGTTCCGGATCGGACCAGGCCGGATCAGCTTTAAATTGGGCTTGTGTGGGTTCTCCTGCTTCGAACGGGTTTTGGGGGCTCTGGGGCCAGGTTGGTTCGGTTGCTTGGTTAGGGGTGCCTTCAGCCTGGGTCGCTTGCGTTTTGGCGGATTGTTGGTTGGATTGGGCAAGGTGATGGTTAAGAGCAGGATTGGATGGGGGAGGGGAGGAACGGCAGGTGGGGAACCCAGAACGCGGGGCTGGACCCGATCCCCACCCCCGGGGTAGTATGTAAGTGTGTAGGACCCAGGCCTGGGTCCTACGCGGATGTTCAAGGCCATCGTCCAAGGTTTTAACCTTTAACGATGGCCGATGTGGTGTTCTAAACGGTACAAGCCCCCTCAAGGTCAAATTTCAAATTTCAACTTTGAACTTTTCAATATCCTCAAGCCTCAAGATTTCAACAATATTATCACCTCAAATCCCCACTCAGTCCAATGGTTTCCTCATTTTATTTTTTTATTCCATTTCCTCTTATTATTTTTTATTCATCTTGTTTTTATTTTTATTTTATCATTTTATCATTCTTTATTATCTTTTTCAAATCACTTGCTCAGAAGACAGTCTTGTTTTTATTTTTATTTTATCACTTTATCAGTCTTTATTATCTTTTTCAAATTCCTTGCTCAGAAGACAGTCTTGTTTAATTTTCTTGGTCCTAAGACATCTCAGGATGTTGTTTTGTTTTGTTTTGTTTTGTTTTGTTTTGTTTTGTTTTGTTTTGTTTTGTTTTGTTTTGTTTTGTTTTGTTTTGTTTTGTTTTGTTTTGTTTTGTTTTGTTTTGTTTTGTTTTGTTTTGTTTTGTATTGTTTTGTTTTGTTTTGTTCTGTTCTGTGTTGTGTTGTGTTGTGTTGTGTTGTGTTGTGTTGTGTTGTGTTGTGTTGTGTAGTGTGGTCTTGTTTTTGTTTTCTGGTTGAGTTGTGTTGTAGTTAGGGATGTGATGACATGTCTGTGACATGTCACTCCCCAGAGTCAAAGTTCAGTTTGAACTGAGATGATGGGGAAGCATGGCACTCTGATCTGATCCAAGATAGACCCATCAATTCTTATTGATCTTTTTATTATTCATTTATCTGATCCTCACACCCACCGATCCTCAAGCTCAACAACCGCCACAGAAATCACCTTCTGTTGTCCCCTCTCAGAAAACCAACCAACCCCAACGCGTTTTGTTCAGATCACAGCTACAATTTATCCAGACCCCCCTTGAAGGCAGCCCTCAAAGCACCATACCTTCTATCAACTGCCTACCGCCTGGCACAATAGGGAGTTCCCCACCAAACCAGATTTTAACCTTGATCGGTCATTGTTCAAGGTTAAAACTTTGATGACTGACTCTGGGACACACCATATTGCCCAGGATGAGTCGCATGGGTCAGCCTGGGGCCTAAAAACATATAATGTATATGCGTTTAGGATGCAGGCTGACCCATACGACCCATCCCTGGGCCGTATGGGTTGGCCTGGGACCTAAACGCATATGCGTTTAGGATGCAGGCTGACCCATACAACCTTTCCCTGGGTCGTATGGGTTGGCCTGGGGCCTAAACGCATATATATATATGTGTTTAGGCCGCAAATAGGTTGGCGTGCGGACCCGCACGCCAAACTTCTTTGGCGTGCAGGCCTGCACGCCAAGCTGCAGGCAAGTGGCACACCATTCTGCAATGGCGTGCAGGCGCGCACACCAATCTGTAGCTGGCGTGCACGAGGGGGGTTTGCTTGCGGTTATCAACCCCCAAAAAAAATCAAAAACTAAGAAAGACACAGGATAAAAAAACCCTAGTAGTTGTTAAGTATCAAACTTAAGGGTTCTATTTCTTGATTAGTAAAATAACAAAGACATACAAAAGACAAATAAAATAAAACAAAAGATAGAATGAAGAAATACCTTAAGGCAGGAGCAACGGTACTAGGATGCGACAACGACAAGGAAAGAAGAGAACATAAGAGACACGACTAAGAATAAAGAGTGTCAGAAGAAGTGATAACCGGTTCAATTAAGCAAAGAGATGAGACGATAACCTACAACGATAGGAAGGTTTTGATAATTGGTGGAAGAACTTGTATCAGCGGACAGTTGAATAGAAGGGAAGAGTTCTTGCATAACGAAGGGAGTGATGACCGGACCAGAGTGTCAGGTCTGATGATTCAAGAAGAAGAGGAGTTATGATGTGAGAATATGATAGAGGATGTTTGGAATAATGATGAGAGAGCGGCAGCAATGAGACCAATGACTTTAAGAATAATGTTTAAGATGTAAAGTTTAAAGTGTGATGTTGTTGGAATCATGGGGAGAAGGAAACGAGTTTGGCGAAGGAAAGAGCTTCTATATAAGTGAGACAAGCGAGTCAAGAAGAAATGATGTCATTGTCAAGTGGACTGATTACATAAACCAGTCTTGTTGGAAATAGCTACTAGAGTCCAAGAGGGATTGAGATCAGATCTCAACAGTAGTGGGTCATTGGATTTTCAATTTTCCTCTCTCCAGTCAATTGGAAACAATCAGAAAATTGGGCTTCCAATCCTCAAGCCTCTTCTGACGCCTTTTCTTTTCAATCTTTCATGAGCTGAGGGGCCAGAAAGAGTCTTGGGGGACGACTCTCTTCTCTGAGGCAGCTACCTCCTTGCGTGCGGCGACGACTCCCGCCCTGGTTGCAACAACTTCTGTCCCAGGTCTGACGACTCCCTCTCCAGGTCTGACGGCCTTTGGACCTGCGGTGGGTGACACAACAGCTCCAACAATGACTCCCGCCGGCTGTGCAAGGTCCTTGCTGGCTTCCTCAGCCCCGGGGGCCTCCTTTGGCACCTCTGGCCCGTTGGCGGCGTCTTTTGGCCACTGTGGCCCGTCGGAGGCGTCTTTTGGAGGCGTCCTCGGTGGTGTGGGGGCCATCTGCGGTGGCCTTGGGCGGCTGCAGCCCAGGAGTGAAGTCCTCAGTGGTATCCTTCAGCTGGGCAACCCGGTCTGCATGGTCTTTGGGATTTGGGGCCCCTCGGTGGGGTGGTTTGGGCTGGTGCCAGGCATGTTGGTTGGGTGGCTGGGCTGAGGAGTCGGAGGTGGTGGGGAAGGAAGGAAGTTGTGGGTGAGGGGAGGATATCAGTCGTTTGCGTGGGAGAAGAAGCCTTGTTTCTTCTCCCGCTGTGAGAACTCCTTTGGGAATGGTGGCAGTCCTGTGAGGGGTAAATAGCAGATGAGATATATCGCGTATGTAATGATCTACTACAACTGTTACAGCTGGTTTGAAAGACCTGCCCCTCTATTGTACTACACTAGAGTTAACACAACAATTTATTTATTGTTGTGGCAAAACTGATGATAGAGAAAACTATGTGTAGCAGTCTCTTCTCAAACTTAGATCAATGTGGATTCAGCAGACTATTCGAGTGGAAATGTTGAGTAAGAGGTGTTTTTGTTTATATTTTTATGTATTTTAAAAAAATGATTGACATATGTACTGATGATGAATGTGAATTTATGAGATGATATTGAGGAAAAATGTGACTATTGAAAGTGTCTTTCCCTTCCTCTTTGAATCTTGGTCAAGAGCACAATGGTTTAAGATCACTGTCTCTTGTTTAAGATCACACTGGTTAATGTATGGATTGATTGCTCTGTTCTGTCTGGTTGCTGATCAGATGATGTGATGATCTGTTGTGATGAGATGATGAGATGATGGAATGAGGGGGGGGATCAGCCCTCCTTAAATAGTCTATTTTACAACCCGGCTGACTTGTGGTTCTAGCCCTAACCAATAATTTATAAATGGCTAACTTGTGGTTCTAGCCCTATACAAGATTCTCAGTGTACATACAAACAATGTGGCTAACTTGTGGTTACCCTATGCAATGAATATTGAATATGTAAACTAACTAAGTCCAACTTGTGGTTTACATTATGCAATAAGCATTTTGTATGCAAATAAAATTTAAATCCCAAATAACTTTTGACTGAGTGGAGCTAGCCTAGTGGTTCTAGTGAGTGACTATGGGTTAAATGACCCGTAGAATGTGATTAAGCCATAATACACCTAAGAATATATGCCCTTCTACATATTGGACTGTGACTTTATGCAATTTGATACTTGAAACACAATTGGCACACTACACCGCCGACTCCTAGGTATTGGCTGATGACTCCCGCGAGACAAAAAAAAAACCAAGTGGTGATTGGGCCATCAACTCCCATTTTTTCAGGTGTCATTAGCCTGATGACTCCCAGTTGAGAAAAAAAAAGATGAGAATTGGGAGTGACAACCCCCAATTATTGGGCGGATGACTCCCAAAAAAATATACATAAAAAATTGAAAATGGGTGGACGACTCCCCTATAAAAAAACCATATTAGTCCAACAACTCCCAAGACCAGGCCTTGGCTCCTGAGATGGTTCAGGAGTCGTTGACACACAGTCCTTGCGACGTCAACGACCAAATGGGAGTTGTTACCTAAAATTTGGGAGTCGTTTTTCCAAGCCCCTTTTTTTATGTCTCTAGGGTCACTATATGGTGATGACTCCCATAATAAAAAATGTAGGGGGCATTTTAGTTGGACAACTCCCGTTTTTTTTAGGGACTTGGTCAACCAACTCCCAGAAATTGGAGAGTCAACTCCCAAACCCGGGTTTCCCTGAAATTTGGGAGTCGATTCCCCAAATCCATCCATGGGTTTGGGAGTTGGCCTCCCAAAAAAATTTAAACAAAAAAAAGAAAAACCCGGAGGGGTTGGGTGTCAATGCCCCAAAACCAAGTGGTTTTGGGGGGTTGGTGAGCAAAAAAAAAACAGCCGCCGGGAGGATTCCTCCCGGCCTCGGAGTGTCAGCCTCTGGGTAACTAACCTGAGTATTTAATAGTAAAAAGGTTGTTACTATGAGTTGACTGAAGTTTTTGAGCGTGGTGAGTGTTAGGTAGTGGGTGATTAATACCAGTCCTGTAAAGAGGAGGGTTCACTCTATCAGTATGGTCTTTACTGAGAGGCTTGCTATCAACAGCGCATCCGGATCAATACAAGGTATTAATAGGCATCCAGGGTACTAAGACTCACCTGGGATTGATTTGGTTATTCCCAAAAGGGAATGGGCTAACAATACTTATTAAGCTTTAACAAAATTAGTTGAAGATTAACAGGTATTGTTGATGGGAATATTCAGCAAGGCTATGAATACTGTGGATAAGTTGAGTAAGAGTACTGAAGCTTAAGAACAATAAATGTAGACTAGATTTATGTTGGTTACGTGTACTGTATCAATATAAATGTTAACTGGTTTAACTGGTGTCTGAATATTCTGGGGATTAATCAGTGAAAGAGGCACGGATTATAAGTTCCAGAATACTGAAGGGGGGAAAGAATGAGCGCTCAGAATCAAGGGAGCTTTGGCCAGGAGAATGAGTACATCAATTGAGTGACTGATCATTATTTGTCATGATCTGTAAGTGACATCATAATTGTGTACTAGTTGATCAATGTACTAGTAGCTCTTGATGCGTGTACTTAACAGATCCTCTAATAATGTAGTCATAATTGTGATCAGTGCATGTATTGAATGTATTAATTCTATTGACACTTAATACTTACTATTTAATACATGTACATATTTATTTGTAATAATATTTGACTGTGAAAATACTGTAGCAGAGGGATAACTTGTGGTACAGGTATTTCACGGACAAAGGAGTGAAAGGTAAGTGATAATTACTTATGTAGAACACAGGTATTTATTTAATAGATAAGTAATTAACAGATAAGATAAATGTAATATAAATAAGATAAGATAAGTTAATGATAATAATAAGATAACAAGAGGTAAAGGTAATCAACATTATGGATAAGTACTTATGTACATAAGTACAGGTGTTGCAGTTACTTGGTACATGAAAGGTACTGTGACATGTACTCTGTGGCTGACACTTCCTCCCTCTAAAAAAGGCTGATCCAAGAAATAAATGAATGTTATTTTCTTTTATCAGCTCTGTATTGTCTGAGAATTTTATCAGCATCAGGTATTTTATCAACTGTAAGCCATTCATCTTCTTTGGTACCACTGTATCTTACTAAATATTGTTTAATGTCCTCATTGTTTTTTCTGATTTTTCTATGTTGTAATATCTTCTTAATTTTAATTTCTTCTTTCTCTAAAGGAGGTATTACAACTCTGATGTTATCTTTTCTTAAAGGAAATTTATCATTATCACTAGTTTTGTATGGTTTAATTAGACTGACTGGAAATGTAGGGTGTTTTCTTTCTAATTCTCCAGTGAGTATAACTTCAACAGCATTTGCACCGTGTAATTGTTTGATTGTAAAAGGTCCTACAAAAGAATCTCTTAATTTTTTAGGTCCAGTCAGGTTTGTAAAATTAAATGTAGATATCAAGAATTGGTCTCCAACTTTAAACTGGTGAGCTTTGTGAGTTTTATCCCATCTAGTTTTGTTGTAGTCTACAGCTAATTTCACGCATTCTGCTGCATATTTTTCAGCTTTGGTCATCATAAAATGAAAATCAGAGGCACTTGGGTGTATATGTACTGCTTTTGACATTAAAATTTCTTTGGGAAACCAAGGAGTCCAACCTCTTTCTAATTCATAAGGTGTTTTATTTGTTGTACTGTGTTTGCTAGAATTGTAAGCATATTCAAGTGCAGGTAGTAATGAACACCAATCATGAGTATAGTTGTCTTTATCCTTAAATGTCATACCATAGGCACAATATCTTCTGATCATGTCTTCCAAAGTTTGAATCATTCTTTCAGCTAGTCCATCTGTTTGAGGGTGGTAAGCTGTAGAAAATTTCAGTTGTGTCCCACATAAATCATATAAATTTCTCCAAAATTCTGACGTAAATTTAGGGTCTCTATCTGTA